CCCCCCCCCCCTATCTCAAACAAAAAAAAGAAGAAAAGTTCCGTTTCGGCATGTAACCGCCCAAGTCGTGTCGTTGGCCACACAACCCCTCCCTTGGCCATTCACCGCGGTAACTCTCGCGTTCGCAACACGCACCAACGATCCGCACCTGGCCGGCTTGGAAAACCACTCCCTCGTCGACCTCCATCGTCGACCAACCGTGAGATCTCTTCCGAGGGAAGTACTCGACGTGTGTGTCTGCTTCGCCCGCCTGCTCCACCTAAATCCTTGCGTGTCGCTTGTTTCGGCGCTGGGGTGTGATGTGAAAGCTGTAGGTAGCATGCCAAGGCGGAGGGGATGGGGGTGCGGAGTGGACGGCGTCAATTTCGGGGATACGGTGGCGGTACGTAGCGGCAGCTACAGCAACAGCGAGGGCTTGCAGTAGCGAGGACGAAGACTGCTGATGCCCCAGCCGCGGCACCAGAAGCGAGGAATCACAGCAGCATCGAACGGCATGCCCCACACCGGCGAGACAACCGACAGCAGCAGAACCCCCAGCCGTATCGACCGCGTCAATAACACCGCCAGCACCAGCATCGCCCCAACCGTAGCCAAGGCACCCAAGGCGGCAGCAACATCGGCACCGCTGCTGGTCTCCAGCCGTCAGGACAAAAGGGCAAGGGGGGCAACCACCGCCACCTGGGCGCGCCGATATTCGCACCCAGCCTCCCCCGTGACACGCAGACAGGCCGTGTGCGGCCCACGGCTCTCCAAACAGCGAAAACAACGCCGCACGGTGCGGTGGGTGCGAAGTGCGCTGCCCTTCGACACGCTTTTCTGCGAATGGCGGCGTGACGTCATGTCACGGACTGACGCTGGAAGGAATAACCTGGTCCTCGCGTGCCCTGACAGCGGTGCGGGGACACTGCCGCCTCGTGCATTAGGGGGCACAGCAATATCAGTGGTGCATGCATTCCCCCTATGAAACGGCAAGAGAGGCAGACCAACACTATTGAGGGGGGCGTGTGCGGTGAAGACGGACTACCACAGCACTCTCCTGCAACAATAAGCACGGCGGAACACATGACCTGCATGATGTACGTCGTATCTCGCACTTCCGGCTTCGCAGAGATACTGCCGGCTGCTGCTGCGGTGCATGGTTTAGTAGTTTCTGCCCATGTGCTGTTCTAGATGTACCACTGCTGCTACTGTACTCCAGTATAGATCATGCATGCGTAACTACGGTATGACACAATATAACACACCCCCTTGGCCGATTTTTCGAAGCTCGATTTCTCAACTGCAGGAACAGAGTCACAGCGCCGAAAATGGCGGCGTTGAAACCGTCTCGTCGAGAGCTTTTCAAAAATGTATCATTTCGTTCTATGCATCCTCTGCGCCGTGGAGAAATCGAGCTTTGAAAGTCGGTCCAGGGGGTGTGTTATCTTGTGTCATATAGGGTATCCCTTTCCTTTGCAATCCCGGAGTTGACCTCGCCCACGTGCTATCGCAACGCCCAGCTGGGAAACGCAGGAGCTTCCACGGGAACGGAATGTGCGAACGGGGGTCTAGCATGGTACTCGTGGGCAAGGAATGCGCGACGAGGTCGGGGGCTGAGCTGCCGCCCGACGCGCAAAGCAAAGCAAAGCAGCAGACAACATCGACACAGACCCGCCATTCAAATCACGCCACGGACGCAGCAGCAGGGGCAGCGAGAAAAGCACATCATGATGTGCTTTGTCTCATCTTGTCACACAGCATACCTTTTCTATTGGACGAGGCCGAGAAAGAAGAAGAGAGTACCGTGGACTTACTCTCGACAAAAGATGCAGAAGCTATGTAGGAGAGGAGGAGAGACCGGTGTCGTGGGCTGCGGGCTCGGGCTGCGCAGTGCGATGGTAAGAGTTCGAGGGGGCACCCACGGAGAAGTATTGGATGGGTGTAGGTTAACTTCATTTGAATGATAAAAAGGGCAGGGGGGGTCACTTGGTTTTGCCGTTCAGAGTTCAGACTCCAGCCAGCGATGCAGAGAGCCGGCGACGGCAGGGAGGCTAGCAAGGACAGCGAGCACAGGGCCTTAAGACAAAGCTTCGAAGACTGAGGTGCGACACAGAAGGGATTGACCGTGCAGTCGTGCTCCCATGTTTGGATCGCGGTTTGCCTCGGACGTCGCCTTTGTGTGGGGCAGAAAGGAGCAAAATGTTGCCTTGTTGGTTGCAGCTTTCAAAACTCAGGGCCGAATGCCCCCCCGGGTTGTTTCAAACCGGGAGATGAACCATGACAATATGTAGTGCCGTAGATGAGTTGATACGCCGGGGGGGACATAACAGTAACCTACAGCGTTCATGGCCCACTTCTATGTTCCAAAGGAGAACCTTCACTATGATGTTAATAATCTTCAGCGATTTGTCAGCGCCGGATTTCGGTTGGACCCAAAAAGGTGCCATACCTGGGAAACACGAAAGGCCGCATGTGGCAGAAAGGTCACACCAAGTACCGCAAAGTGGGAAGCAACTTTCCGGTTGTTCTCGCACCAAGGATGGGTAGGATCGCTTTCGGGGTTTATTCAGGGCTGCTGCGTGCCAACAAGGAGCAGGCGAGGCATCAGACAAAGCCACAGATTCGGTGAGCATGACACAGGAGAGATAAGATGACACCGCTTGCACGCTCTCACAGTTGATCTCAGGCGGCCAGGAGGGCGGGGCACTTTTTCGCGAAAAAGCGGTGCGCGTATGTGAGCGACAGCAGTAGGCCCGGAGCACACGCTCCTTATTAGGACAGCCGGCTACTCCAAACGCCCAGCCCCCACGCCTCCAGCCCCGTTTCATGTTCCGTGAGGGGTCCCCCTTCCTCACGCACGCAATATCGCAAATTTCAAATTTGGTTCCGTGCCCTGTTCGGGTGTGCGCGTCGTCGTCACCGGATCCCGCAAGCAAGAATGGTCCGGGGTAGCGCGGCGGGCAACATGCGCTTCGAATAGCGCACCGGGATACGTCGGCAAGCCCTTAGACAAGGCCATCCTGTTGATCCCTATCCCCATCGTCAGTGCACACCTCCATGCGGTGGACATCGTCCGTAGCGCTTGGTGGATGCCGTCATCCGTCTCCCCTGCTGGAGCAATTTTTTTCGCCGCGGCCGTCCCGAACCGGAATTTTATCGAGGAAACCACGTGAACCGCCGACGTAGACGATGTACCTTATCCTGGCTGCCTCTCCTCTCATTCTTGGTCTCTTTCCCATCTCTGTGGTGCGCGTCCTCCCGCAAGGATTCGAAAGACAACGAGCGACAGGGAGGAACTCGTGCTCTCCCTTTCTCCCCCTCCCCCCCCTCTTCCCTCCGCCCCTTGAACAACAAGTACAACACAACGAATAGTCGACCTCGAACCAGTCCACGCCAATGATATGGGGATGGAGTGTAGACTCATCGTAGAACGCGTTTTCGTTTGAAGTTGGCGTCTTGTTTGAGAGTAGATGTGACAGATTTGCGTAGAATAGGGTAAGATGTTATCATGAACGGAGAAGAAAGGCCTTTTCCCAACACGGAGATGTAGCATGGATCAAAGCATTTGTTGGATATCAGCTTTTACAAGAGGACATCAACGCAGTAGTATTTTAGCAACCTTACGAACGCATGTAGGATACCATGAGGATTGCCATTGGTTTTATTTCAAATTGAAGAGGAGATATTTTTACGATGTAAGTGACAGTAGAAATAAGTCCTACATGTGTTGTTGGTACTTCGTATTTGTTTAATATTCATGTAGATAGAGTATAAGACATTAAGTGAAAGTTTTCTGAGGTACATCTGCAATTAANCCTGACGAACGCATGTAGGATACCATGAGGATTGCCATTGGTTTTATTTCAAATTGAAGAGGAGATATTTTTACGATGTAAGTGACAGTCGAAATAAGTCCTACATGTGTTGTTGGTACTTCGTATTTGTTTAATATTCATGTAGATAGAGTATAAGACATTAAGTGAAAGTTTTCTGAGGTACATCTGCAATTAATTGTCGGAAGGCAAAAAAAAAAAAAGTCTACATAGTTGCATCTTCGTTAGTTCTTCTCAGTACCGAGTGATGTCCGTCGAACTCTAACGTGTAAGGCTGTTCCCCATCCGGTTCACCCGACCCATCGCGGGTACATCGTAGTGGACACCCACCCTATCTCGACTATTTCGACTATTTCGACTATTTCGAGTTGTATAAAACACTTGAATGGTCCATCTGTGCTAAGATCTTTCACCGCCCTATCAGTGGAGGACCCACATATTTTTATGCATTTGCACAGTGCTGTGCGAGAGTGTCCCGACCGTTTTCATGCGTTCCCGCCGACCTACCAACCAGCGCATGTGAAACGTGGAGCTGTCCTTCTGTCCTTCTGTCCTTCTGTCCTTCTGTCCGTCTGTCCTTTTTTCGCAGCACCACACTCTTTCGAAGCAACACGCACAATCTCCATGCCATGGTACATATCAACATCTAACCTCCTCAAACGCGATACCTCCCTCCCTCTCCCCCCATGTGTTTTTGTTTGTTACCCGCAGCCGCTGCCTTCCTTGGTGTCCCGAATTGCTTGTGTTCCCCCGGCGATCAATCGGGGATATTCAGGCGCGTGAGAGACGGGGGGCAGGAGGAAGGTAGACGGGGAGGGTTAGTGGGGGTGACTGCATGGCTTCGGCCGCCGAACAACACGCAGCACAGGAAAAGGTGGCAGAAACCCTCGCTGGCCAGATGGAAGGGCAGCTAGCGGAGGTGAGTGAGAGAGAGAGAGAGAGAGAGAGAGAGAGAGAGAGAGAGAGAGAGAGGTGCGCCTGGTCGTCTGGAACACCCGTTTCTCACCTCACCTCCCCAACAATAACATCTATCACCGGGCGGGACATTCCCAGGATAGAATCAATCGAAGGCGTTTCATGCCGGCAATGTTGCCGTTGCCGTTGCCGTTGTCGTTGTCGTTATTGCCGAGACCGTGGGTACCGACATCAAGTCCGCGGCAACGAGTGTGTTCGTGCATCGTGTCCGGGGGGGGCCCTTTCGCTTCCGATGCACGCAACCACGCGGTGGCCCCGGGTGTCCCGCAAGCGACCGGTTTGTGGGGGAACGTTGTTCGATCGCCAGCTCGGAGAGAAGATTCTTGCAGCGTTCTTGTGGAGCGAATGACACATCGACCAGTAGTTGGAGGTGTCCCCGTCCGCAGGGAGGTGTATCTATGTACAGCCAGTGCAAGACATGTTGCCAGCTGGAGATTACCTCAAAAGGTTGCCGGTTCGAGATTGACCTCAGAAGGTTGCCGGTTCGAGATATGACCTCAAAATGGGTCATGTTGCACCCTTCACAGCGGTAGGGACACCTGCCGGAGGCTGGACCTAGTTGATTCTGCTGAAGTCAAAACCAGTAAAACCTGCCGAGAAAAAGCAAACAATCTTACAGTGCCCGCTAACGCTTGAACGCATTGCTACTCTATCCCGAACTCTCACGTGCATACCGTTTCACAACGCCCCTCGGCAAGTGTCGGCAGTAAAGCATGTGGCACAGCAGTAGCAGTTAGAGGTGCCCCACGTTTCGGAGTAGAATCAAGACAAACCTCAGAGGTGGCCTCTCTTGTCACCGAAGTGGTGCATCAAGCTACTGGCGTTGTTCGCCCTCTTCCGCCCGGTGAACTAGTGCGTCAAGCTTCTTTTGTTGGTGTTGTTCGCCCTCTTGTGCGCCCGGAACTTCCGGCCGACAGGGCGAGGCTTGCGGTTGTGATCCTCCAAGAAGACTTACCTTCTATACCCTCCCCCCAACAGTTTGACCCGAGCCTTTTTTGCGTGGCGTTGTTGATTGCGTGGGCGGGGGCGACGGCGACTCGCCACCGAGGGTCGGCATGAATTTTGCGGTACGGCGGCCTCGGTAAGTGCGGTGAACTCGTGCCCTCCCTCAAACGGCGTGCGCCCGACGAGTGCTAGACCTCGCCATCGGTGTGTAATCTCTTTCGCCCCCGCCCCATATTTTGATACACCTTTGGCAAGGTAGGAAGGAGCGATTGGCCATCGGCGATCGTTCCTGTGACAACAATGCTGCCTGTTCCCGAGGACGACGCGTGGTCAATGGTCTAACAACTAAGGCTGCAAAACAGCACGGTAGTACCCCCCCCCCCCGCCCTCCATTACCTGCAACAAAACTGTCTACAATGGTTCTGTGCCCCTTCCTACAAGCACAATCTCAGGATGAAACTATTCCTTCTATATGAAGCCCACGAGGGTTGATTGCTTGGTTGATTTGGGTCTGACCACGATGCGCTACTCCACGGTCCCGCTCTCCCGTCTCGTTTTTTTCTCAACGCGAAAAAATAAAAGCCTCGGGCGATGCAAGCCCCTCAGGCGGGTCCTCGCGACCAGCAGCAAGGGCTGTTTCTCCAGCCCCCTGGGGGAGTTGTCCCTGCGCAGAACCCAAACCACCTTCAGCAGCAGCCGCAGCTGCCACACCAGCCACCCCAGCCACACCAGCAGCAACCCCAGTCGCAGTCGCAGCCGCTGCCGCAGCAGCAGCAACAACCGGCGGGGCAGGGAGGCGCGCCTGGACAGGGGGCGCGGGAGACGGGAGCGACGACAGGGTCCGGGCAGAAGAAGACGGCGGGGGCTAGGAACGGGGGGGGCACGGGAAAGGGCTCGGTCGGGGGAGAATCCGACTTGGACAGCGACGATGACCCAAACGAAGGTGAGGATGTTTTTGCTCTCGCTCTCGTGTGTAGGATGGGAGTTGAAACGCTTAGCAGCTTTCTTGTACCCTCTGTATTGTATATTGAACGGCAGTTGATATTTGCTTTCCTTTTTCCGTGGAAATATGCCCATGCGCTCCAAGTGCCCATGGAACGTGGTCTTTTTTTCCCGCGATACAACAGCAGTATGCACATCCCAGCAGCAGCAACAGCAGCAGCAGCAGCAGAGGCTTCAATTTGCCTTTGGAGATTGGTGTTGCGAAACGCGACGAGCCGCTGGTTACGTTTTGTGTATCTGGTACTCTCTCTGCCAGGTAAATTGCTTGCTTTCTTCCTGACATCCTTCGTTCGATTTAATGTCTATATATTTTTTTCCGGTGGGACAGATCCCGAGGCACGCAAAGCCCGGAAGAAGATCCGGCGAGCGTGTGACTACTGCACTCAGAAGAAGGTGACGAGTTTTTTTTTGTATATTCGAGAGCGGGTTTGGTACAGAAGCAATGGCCTCACGAATGATCATGGCAGTCAGCACCGTGAGGGTTCGAATTTGTCACAAAGAGAGAACTTGAACCCACACAACATAGCAGATTATAGCAGGTATTGATAGCTCATGGAGGAAGCGGGAGCCCCCGGGTTGCGAAAAAGTACATGCAATGTTCTTGAGCGCGGGCGCCTGCTGCGTGCTAGAAACAAAGAGAGAGCAGCAAAAAAAGTCAAAGGGAGACATGGATGCTGCTGCTGCTGTGTATACCCCTGTTGTTGCTGCATGTGTCGCTGCTGCTTTTGCTGTTGCATCGCCTCAGTTGCTGCTACTATTACTGATGCAGTTGTTGCTGTTGCTTTTGCTGCTGCTTTCCTTTTTGATGCAGGTTAAATGCGACGGGACTCCGCCCTGCCGACAATGTCAGAGGAGACAGATAGAGTGCACCTTCAGCCCGTGCGCCCGTTCCGGCCCAAGGTCAGCTTGGTTGGTAGATTGACGCGTGATCAGTGCTCTTTACCTCGATTTACTGCTGGTGTGGGATAGAGTGCGGGCCCGAGAGGGTTCCAAGCACCATACCTAAGTGCTGTTCTGAAACTTCAACAAATTAGGCCCACGAGGCGTTCCGTTACGACGAGAATGTCCAAGTTGGCAGTTTTTTAGAATCGACCCGCTTGCGACGCCACAAATGCTGTTTCTCTACCTCCCCCCCCCCCCCCCCCC